TATTATCTTTAAATTCGATCAATTTGTTTAGAAAATACAATGTATTAAATCTAAAACAAACAAATCTGTCGCGTAATCCATATCGTGTAATCTGAAAATATCCAAAGTGGTTATGAATTCCAATTGTTCTTTTATGCTCTAATCACTAATGTTTCGAATAAAAATTGACGTATTTTTGCGTTCTTTCGAAAAATTATTTTTGTAGGAGTTATTCAGTCGGTTTCGTTTTCGATGGGCCACCCTGTATAAATTGTATATGTGTATATATATGTGTATATATATCCAAATATATATATCTTAAATAAAAACTGCAGAAATGAATTTATATTTTCTACTTTTACATTACAAAAAAAATTTCTTGCATTAATACCGATAAAATTTAATTAAAACTAAATTTAATTTTTTAAGTCTTTTTATTTTGCAGTATTTTTATAATGACAACATTTTTTCAAGGATATTATTTTTATTCTCAGATTATTTACGTGGCAAGAAATCCAAGAGACGTGGTGGTTTCGAGATATAACTTACATAAGATCTTAACACATCTGGATTTCCAGGGAACTTTCGAACAGTTCTGTAATAATTTTATGAATAATCACAGTAAGCTTTGCAAAATATCGATTAATCTTTATTTAATTAATTTTTTCTTATTGCTAGCGTTTCAAGATCCTAATTTTCCATTATTTTAGTACAATGGACCCCATATTGGGAACATGTGAAGGATGCTTGGGCGATGAGACATAGAACAAATATGATGTTCCTCTTTTATGAAGATTTGATAAAGGTGAGACAGAAAGAAATTCTATTTTATTCAATTGCAGTTTCATATAAAAGACAAAAAAAATTTTTTTTTAATTATGACATATGTCAATTTATTTTTCGTAAAAAATAAGAGATAAATATTATATATTTCCAATTTATATATTTTCAATCATTTTTAGAGCTTCGAGTATTATTATAATAAAAAAGATTTATTTCATATTTTAAAATAAATGATATAATTACATTATTTCTCTAAAAAAAATATTTTTTTTTTCAAAATTAACAGTATATACACATGCAAACACATCGCTTATTTACATCTTTAGTTTCTAATATCATTCACCAGAAAAAAATTAATATATATATTTCTGCTAATAAAGATATAGCGACATTAAAGATATTACGATTTTATAGTTAACGTTTCCATCTATTTTTTGTAGGATTTATCTGGCAACGTAAGAAAAATCGCTGCATTCTTCAATAAGACTTACAGCGATGAACAGATCGCCAAGTTAGTGGAGCATTTGAAAATAGAGAATTTTCGCAAAAATCCTATGGTAAATAAGCCGACTTTAGACAATCGGAATTTAGTACAACCGGAAAAGTTTATACGACAAGGAATAACAGGCGGTTCAAAAAAAATGTTTACGCCGGAAATCGAAGAGAGATTTAGCAAATGGATCACTGACAATTTAAAGGATACGGATTTGGCATTTCCAAGTTAGATTTGTTACACGATATAAGCAATTGCAATTTATAAAGAATGCGGATTTAGCTTTACCAAGTTAGATTTATTACATGATCGATTTATATAAGTAATTGCAATTTTTATAATTTCAATTCAATTTTAAATAATGGTAACTAATACATAATTTAAAACAAAAATTATAAAGCTGATTTTTACGTTTTTATTTAATCGAAAGAGTCGGTTGTTAAATTTGTCATTTTGAATATTGTTCTTCACGTTTTTACTTTTTTAGTTCAGCTGTTTTTGTAGAACCTTGGCGTTGTTTCTGTCATAATTTCTTTACAGAAGATACAAGCAGTGTCTTTGCTCAATATCGCGATATAATATGAAGAATTTTAAAAAAGCTGTCATCTCTTGCATATTAATAATGCGCCCCCTCCCCCCTCACACACACACACACACACACACACACACACACACACACACACACTTATATGTATACATTATATGTATATTTCTTATTAATAAAATTGACACAAGTTGTCAAGTAATGATAATTTTAAGTATATACGTCGATACACTCCGATAAATATCTTAAATTCCTTAAAATACTAAGAGAAGGAGGGGCAAATAGTGACGGATTTTTTCCTCTTTTCCCTACAATTATTATATTATTATAAGTAACAATTATTAATATTCAAAAAAGGATTTTATATATTTTATTCCCTATATCGCAATATGCGATTGATTCTATCGAAGAAATATAATATGAAATTCAGAACAGACAGAGAGATAGAATCAGATGGATATATCAGCTAAAAATCTCAACGAACGAAAACCTGTTGCAAGCAAATATTTAAATTGCGTATAACTTTATAATATACATACTACAATTACATATGGTCTTTTTTCATAAAATTGTAACACTGATGATAACCGACATAAAGTAGTCGAAACGTTTGGAATTTAGATTTATAGTTTTAGATTTATATTATAATTGCGACAATCACGTATATTAGTAATTAACAAATACATTACAGTAAATACATAAAAACATCAAGATCAGTAGCTTACTCAGTTTCTATCATATAGTTGAATTTTATTTTTATAAGTAAGTCCAAATATACAATAAATTTTATTCATTTTAATAAAAATGAATTAAATAAAATATAAATGTATAAATTAATATGGGGTTATGATATAAAAACAAGATCAAGCATGCAAAGACAAGCATGCATATTAAGTAAGCAATTGTATTGATTACAAAATAATGATTAAGTTTAAATAAATTATTAATCTTTTGCATAATATAAGTTCAAAATACAAAGATATTTTAAATTAACTTCTGTTCATTTATATGTTATATATTATGTAATTATTGACAAAATAAATTGTAATTTGTAACAGTACATTAATATATAAATGTAATAAAAATAATGATACATTGGTAAACCATTGATATATATGCCATTTTCAAAGCTATATTTAGACGTGCAAATTCCACTTTAAGCATAACTGGATCTGATTCTTCCTAAAAATAAGATCTGCTCCTCTAAAAATTATTATGAGTGTTCTTATACATACAAATGCATTGTTTATTTAAGAAGAAATAATATAATTTACATTTTATGTAACGTTAATTTGAAGTATTTAAAATGTGTTGAATTCTATATGTATAATTTAGAATTATATTGAACAAATTATAACATTTTAAAATGTAAGTACACATAAATTTATATTTTGTTTGAATACAAATTGATAATAAATGTGTTTCAATTAAAAAGAGATCGCGAACGAGCTAAAGGTGCTCGCGACCGATCGAGTCAAATATTGATTTGATGATATTGAAATTCCTTGTTATGTAGTCAAAGTTGAAATTACTATTACTTCTAATTTTTGGGAGTGAAATGTCACTCCTAGCGATCGTGAAAGTTGCGCCAGCCCGGCAGGAGTGAATATTCACTGTAAGAAGGGAGTGAAAGCTTTCACTCCATAATTGCAGTGAATTTTTCATTTTTACGGAGTAAAAAAATCAATCTAAGCCAGAGTCAATTTTCAATCCAATGC